TACCCCACAGTCCAACTAGCCAGCCTGCTCTGTTATTTTATTCCCAGTACAATGGCACTGTGTATCTCCAGAAGAGGGAGTTTGTGCTTCATCCTGTTCTCCAAGCATTTGCACAGCTTTAAACATAATGGAAAAAATTCAAGAGTTGCTTTCTTTTCTTACTCATCAGAGCAGGCACTCCGTCTTTCCCTCGACTTTTAACATGTTCAAAGCAATGACCATGCTTGTGATTTGCACCAGGAGTCAAAGTGAAAATGGAGCTTTTTTTTTTCTAAGCAGCACCTATGGTATTAACCCAGGCTTGAGCACTTCATTTACACTTACCTGCCCATCAAAGAAGACAAGAGGCTGGGATGAAGGCTAGGGGAAGCCAAGCAGAAGATTAGTGGAAATATCGACCACACAACACAAAGTGCTCCTGACTGGAATAGGTGGTGGTGCACAAAAGCCTTATGAGGAGTGGCTGAGGGAGCTGGGGTTGTTTAGTCTGGAGAAAAGGAGGCTGAGGGGAGACCTGATCGCCCTCTACAACTACCTGAAAGGAGGGTGTAGTGAGCTGGGGACTGGGCTCTTCTCCCCGGTAATTAGTGATAGGACGAGAGGAAACGGTCTCAAGTTGCGCCAGGGGAAGTTCAGGCTCGACATTAGAAAGAACTTCTTCACTGTTAGAGCTGTTAGGCATTGGAACAGGTTCCCCAGGGAGGTGGTGGAGTCATCATCCCTGGAGGTGTTCAAAAAACATTTAGATGTGGTACTTCAAGACATGGTTTAGTGGGCATGGTGGCGTTGGGTCGACGGTTGGACTTGATGATCTTTGAGGTCTCTTCCAACCATAATGATTCTATGATTCTATGATTCTATGATCTGCATTCATACTGCTTGGGTCCAGGCAGTGATGTGTTTGAACTCATCCAAGCGTCAAAGCTGGTCTTGGGAGTTCCACAGATACATAATAACCATAACAGAGTATGCCTTTTCGGATGCTGTAATGTTTGGTGAAGATCTGAGAAGCGCCTCAGCCATGCAAGTGGGCATAAATGTGTGAGGAATTGGTAGGAGGTGCCAGCCTGGACCACTGGGCACAAAGAGAGTGGTCAATGGCTCAAAGTCTACCTGGAGGCCAGCTCAAACACCTGCTCCTCAGCCTTGGCACCGAGTGCAGAAACCAGGGCAGCCTCAGGGCCCGGGTAGTAGCACAGAGGGAGAAGCCAGAGTCGAGCCATATGGACCTGGTCACGATGCCCATAGGAGGACTCCCAGGCCCATGGCTGGAGAAAGACATCATACGTCACTCAAGCAAGGAATGACAGAACTGTCCAAGGGCTCAAAGGAGCAGCAACAGTGGCACTGCGCAGGCGTGGGTCCTGTCTGAGACACAGCAGCATCAGAGGTTTTCTGTCCCACCCTCAGCAGTGACACAATGGCAGCGGGGGCCCTCAGCGAAGGCAGTGAAGTCCAAATGGGCAAGGAAAAGAGTCCAGAGGAGGAAAAATTGAGCATGAGTTCAACAAGGGGCAACTGAGAGGAACTGAAATGGCCAAAAAGAGAGTCCCTTCTGCATGTCACACAGTCACAGGGGAAAAGAGACGAGAGAGATCGTCTCCCTCCTGGAAACAACCAGTGCAGGGATGTGCAGGTAGACTCACATTCAGCCACCAGCTTCCTCAAGAACAAACCTCAGGATGCAAAGGCAGGTTGTGGTGCAAAAGGAACAGAATCCCAGAGCAGCTCCGACTCATGGAAAAAGGAGCTGGGTCCTTCAGTGTCTGCCCAGCAAGGAAGGACTCTCCCTGGTACATGGTCAGATTTTTGTCTTCTGCAAGGAGATCACCAAGTCACAGATCTTGGATTCTGGCTGAACAGTAAGGACAGCAGGTGGTCCAAAAATGTCCAAAATATTGTGCTGGCACCAAGCACTTTGCAGAAAAAGGCTTGGTGTGGTGGAAACACTGAATTTATGCAAACTGACAGACTTCGACCATCACTAACATTTCACACTGTGTATCTCTATGCAGCAAGACTTTCTTCTCTTGACAAAACTGTCACCCTCCAAGTGAAGAGACACTGCAAGAGCAAATGCCAGGTTACTCCACCTGTTTGTAATCACTTCTGGTCCTGGTGTGACCAATGGTCCCTGCCAGTTTGCTCTGGCTATTCCTTCACTGAGTTGGGTACTCCGGGGGCAGTCCCATCAAGGCAGTTTGAGCACTACAGGCACTCATAGCCAGCCTCTCTCCCCCAACACTTGTCTTCTTTCCCAGTGGGGCTGCTGGCATTCAGTTCTGCCCACTTGCCTGGACAGTCTCCAAGTTGTCCACGGCTTCCAGGCAAGAGACACACACTCATCCCAGCACCAGGAGGCTTGGCAGTAGGAATTACCCAGGACCTGGTACTCTTAGATCAACTGGACTTTGCAGACATTGACTGCTCTTGCAAAAATCAAGAAGGCTGCCAGCATCACCTGCCCTTTCCCCAACGTGTGGGCATGGCCACTTGCCCTCCTCACAGGGATGAGGTGTCTTGAGCCACCAGAACCTCCCTGTGCAGCAAATGGGGCTCACCCGAGAGGCATCCCAATAGCACAGCAGTCTTCCAGAGAAAGAAAATATATCCAGGTCTACCTACACTTTTTATTTATTTATTTATTAGTTTAGCATAAGCAATTTCCAAGGATGCTTTTCTCCTGCACAGCTGCCTCCACCTGGAGGAAAGGCCTGGAAGCCAGGTATTTCAACCGCTTTTAATGAATCTTCCCATTCATGTCTGACCTTACAAAATGAAAATAACAAGGTCACAGTTGCATCCTAGTTTTATTACAACTGACCCGCAGGCAAAAGTATAGAACTATTACATAAACACTCTGATCCATGTATAATATCTTAAATAGAGGAGAAGTCAAACCAGGATACCAGATAAAATATTCTGAAGCTCTTTGAAGCAGTTATGTTCCTGAGCTCCATTTTACAGACAATAAGGCAACATCCCTGCACATCAGCTTTCTGGTAATTTTTATACATTTTTCTATGGTACAAGAAAAAAAAAAATAATCAGAGTTCACAATGTACAGTTCTTACACTATTTTCACAGCTTCTGAACACTATATACTTTTTTTTTCTTTTTTAATAAAGATACATTGCAATAAATGGTGCACCCTTAATAGTTTATAATAATCTGTGTTTAATACACTGAACTCGTCCTTCTGTACAGCCACCCCTGCCACAGCACAACCCTGACTTTGTCACTGGCAGCTCAAAGCTTCGCGTTTCCATTTCCCATCCATCAAAAGCAAACTGGTTGTGCTGCTAAAAACGAGCTCCAGAGGGGGTGGGCATCAGAGAACAGACCCCAGCCGTTCCAAAAGAGTAGAGCAATGCAGACGCTTGCGTTGGAGAGAAATTGATTTTTGGGAGGATCCATCTCAGTGTCAGCCCTCTGAAAGGTTTTTGGGCTCCCTGTCACCGGGGAGACATAAATCAGACTTTAATTGCTGAAAGGTGGGGGCAGAGGCAGAGCACACATCTAGCTTTACCAGATCTGTGTCTCTTTGCCCCCCCCCAACCAGCACCCCGTGGGATCCAGTGCACCCGCGGTCCCGACATGGCTGGCTGAGGCAAGTGAGACGAATCACAGACGCAGGGATTTGCCAAGCCTGAAAAAAGCCGAGTTTTCGGAGGCTATGGGGCTGCGGGGAGAATTACCGTTTTAGATATGCCATGTATCTTGTTGAACTGATCGTTCCATGTGATTAACCAGAGCTGTTGCAAATGACTTTGTCACTTTGCAAAGCTCTGCCTTGTCCGTTTTGGGAAGACTTTAGTGACTGTCTTGCCTGACAAGCAGCCCCTGGAGGAACGTAATCCAGGAAGGGCAGGAGATTGCACCTCCCTGCCCGGCCGGGCACGCCGTGCCCCAAGGGATCACATCAGCGTCAGCCTTGGTGCCAGAGGGACCAGTTCTGACAGCCAAGCAGGAGATGTGCCGTGCTCCAAGCCTTATGCAAAGGTGTCACCTCTACGGCCACCTCTACACCGGGCATCCACACCAGCACGGCCTTGGTTCTCTCCTTTCCCAGCTGAGCAGCTGGGGCAGGGATGTGCCGGTCTCCAGTGCTCCCGCATCAGCCCAGTTTGTGCTTGGTAGCATTGGTTTGATGTGGGAAGCCCTTCCTTGGGAATCCTGCCAGTATCGCTGTGTTTTCACTCTCATTGCGTCTCTAGCCCTCTGTGTCCTGGGTGTGGTTTTGCTGCAAAGCTTCGACAGTAGGTTGCTCTAACATTGCTGAAGTCCTACCAAGTGCCTAAACTAGATGACTCAAAATGGAAGTCAGAGACACTGCAGCCTCCATTTTATCTCTGCTACTAAATGTCTGAAAACTGCAAAGTTTAAAAAAAAAAAAAAAGTTTTTCAGGAAAAATTAATCTTCAAAAAATGTGCCAATTTTTAAAAAAAACAACTGATGCACTTTTTTGTTGAGCAATGGGCCAGAAGATGACAGCTTGTCTGGCCTTGCTGGGTCAGCGAAAAGCTCACAAGGAGTTAGACGCTCCCTCATCTCCACCTCCTTTCCATCTGCACCAAACAATCTCAGTAAGGTTCACTCTAGGGTGCAGTAACAAGAGCTATGGAGGATCACAAAAGATGTTAAAGATGCCCAGAAGGTGGTGAACAAAGTCTCCAGCAAGCTAAGCAGAGCATGACATTTGCAGCAGTGGGGCTGGGGGGGACATCCCCACCATCCTGTTTGCAGTGGTGAGAAGGAAACGCTGAGGTTTGGTCTTGTGAGGGACACTGGGCTGGGAGGTGGCCTCAGCGCCAGTGAAAAGGTGCTAGCATCAGGGTTGGGGACGATGAAGAACATGAGAAATACTGGCTAGAAATCACCGACACTTGTTTGTGGCTCATTAAAACAGCTGCAGACTTTGTGAACAGCGCTTGTCGAAGTCACGGCAAAGCCAGCTGGTGGCGAGCACTGTGCAGCTATAAATCAGGTCACAAGCAGGTTAAATTCAATTGAGTAGTTTAATAATTCTTCAGGTCAAAGGTCTTATCTTACCAGGTAACAATTTACAGGACCCCTAGTTAAGAGTGAAGAATGGCTGGCTTGGTAAAAGGAGAAAGAATAGATTATGTCCCATTTCTGAATAGTTTAATGTTAGCCTCTTTCAACGCAACATATTTTTGGTAAAGACATATTCACTATATTTAACATGATCTCTCTTTAACAGGAAGTTCAGCTGAGCACACTGTCCCCAGAAAGTACACTGCGACTGTAAAGCAACAGAATTTCATAGCAGTAAATCTATTGCACTTTGTGAAGAATAAAATTCTCCTTTGCCTTTCTAGCTCCAGAAGGCAAAGCATCTCGTTGGTTAAGCAAGTTCTTCTCCCTCCAGGCAAAGTCTCTTAATGTTCAGACAGACAACGCCTAACTTTTGTTTGTTTGTTTTTTATTATTACTTGAAACAACAATTGGAAGAGTTTGAGAGAAAAATCTTTCCAGTAGCTGCTGAGAAGTCTCCAAGTTTTGAGTCTAGAAATGAATTTTAGGTGCTATCCAATCACGGTCAACAAATAAATGTACTTATTTCCACATTTCATGAATATGTCCACAAAAGAGCAAGATGAGGTCTCTCTTTGACCAACACTAACACTGTGTGATCAGGTATTACAGGGATGCACTTTATATGTGACAACAGTATACAGACAGGATGGAAATAACACCAATATTATTGCACATGGTGTCTGGGCGAGCATTAAAAACACCGCAATATGTGATGAAAATTCTTTACAGCTTGTCTTCTCTCAGCCCTTTTTCTAGAGTTTGATGTAGCAGCAATATCAATCGACGTACATTGGAGAGCTGGGAGTTGCTGGCATTTGATCCAGGATTTTACAAACATAGCATGCAACATCCACTGTGCGTTCCTCATACATCAGGATGAAGGGATGTTTCTGGAATGATAAAAAAACCAAGGTTACATTTGCCCTTCTGACACATGCTGACTACCCCAGATAAAAGCTGAGCGGATAGATTTGCTTCATGAAAAAACACAGGGCTTGGTGGTGGCTGTAGGACAAAAGGACATAGTCTGGTCCATGGCTTTTACATCCAGGGAATCCGTATCTTAAATGTGCAGTATGGAAGTGGGACAGGACTCCAGGAGTGTCAGGAACCACTGGGCAGGAGGCAGCGAGGATACAGTATTAGCAGCACCTTGCTCCTTTGTAGCATGGACACATACTGAAGTACTTCCAAGAGAGGTTGCATCATCAGCCTTGTCAGCAATGGGGAGACAGGAGTGACAGGGAGACATGGCTTTTGGAGGTCAAACAGGAGACTAGGACCCAAACCCACTTCTCCTGAACCCTGACCCCCTGCTCTGCCCAGGAGGTCATACCGGCCGGAGCCAACTCAGAGCCACTGGGAATTAACACCACGGTGACTCTCTGGGCTAGGACACCAGGCAAACTCCTTTCATATCACACCACCACTATCAGGGACTCAGGGCATGGTTTCACACACCCCCTGAAGAGCTGGCTTCCAGATGTCCAGGGCTCCTTGAAGGTGCATGGCTGCCAAACGTGACTTACCCAACCCCAAAGGAATCGCTGCACTCCCTCCTTTATGACCACCCCCACCCAGACAGACTCTGTTGGAGTCTTACTCCAGAGCCCTGCTCTTTCAGGTCTCACTTTTGCCTGAGGACTCCCAACCTCATTGTGTGACCTGTGCGTTGGTGGCATTTATACATGACAGTGCTGGCCAGCAATTTCACAGGGTTCCTGCACGGTACTAGGACCTCAAAGGCAGCACCTACATGGCACATGCAGCATGCTTCTGCCCGAGTCTGCCCACTTCAGGGATCACCGATTCGCCACAACAGGCATTTCCCCTATGTTGATCTCCTGTGTTTATGTACAGACACTAATGATCTCAGCCATCACCATGACCACAGGCCAGAGACAGTGGCATTGGAGGTGGTGCTCTTCCTCAGGCTGTGGAGCTGAACATCCTGCCTTGATGGCCCAAGAAGACAAGGAGCGACCTCGGACGTGCAACCCAGCCCCATTGTGTGACCGGCAGAGCTGCGATGGCTGGCGTGGGCAGTCACACTTTGCACTCACCAGAAGCTCTTTATACTTTGGCCTTTTGGACTCGTCCTTTGTAAGGCTAAAGAAAGCAGAAAGAGAATTAGAAGAAAGTGGGATTGGGAAAACTGCTACAGACATCAAATGCAATTTTTTACAGGACATGATGTTGAATCCACTGCTGTCGCAGTGAGACTCACCGCTTTTTGTTTTCTGGAAAAACCATCCTTGTGCTGTGAGTGACCACAGGGACTCCCTCCCTCCCTCCCCACATGGATGAACAGCAAGTGTGGCCACCAACAAATCCTGCTGGGGATGGAGCCCAAGAGAGCTGCAAGCAGAATGCCATCCTGACTGCCACTGCCTCCATATGGAAAGGGGTTTGATAGCAGCACAACAAGTTTTGGGCAGCAGCAACCGGCCTGTCCTCCATTCATTGGGCAGCAGGAAAGGGAGAGACACCCCGGCCTGCCAGGCCACAGACAGGGGACACAGGCACCACACCATCGTCTAGGCATCTGCAGGCAGCAGATGGGGCTGTAGCAGATGGCCAAACTGCTCTATGGGGCCACGGCCAGGCTCTCAGGCCCTCTCAGCTCATCCCTGGCACTGGTGGCACATCCAGCACTGAGCAGGGCACAGGCACTGGGAAGGGACAGGAGAGGTGACATGGCTGCTCACAGGCAGCTGGGGGATGGGGGGGGGGGGGAGGCGGGAAAGACATCTTCTTCTG